TTACCTAATGGGGACTAGAGGGAGGATGGTCAACACTCTCAAATCAAGAAAACGAATGGTTTTTCTTTACTGATGGAGTGAGCATAGAGCATAGGGTTTAAAGGAGGTAGAAAATGGACAGTTGCAGCCTCTGACCCCTATTCAAATACTCCAATTTCCATATGTGCAATACTCCTAGCAATAGTGTATGCCCTTGAAAAAAATGTCTAAGCTTTATATTTTCACAGACTCCTGGTTAGTGGCTTATGGGCTAACTATTTGGTTGGGACTTTGGCAATGTCAGGTCTAGAAAATATAGCACCAAGATATTTGAGGCAAAAGGCTGTGAGGAGAAAATCATTACACTGGCTCCTGTTCTGCCCACCTTGACATACCATACTGTGGCTCATATCAGTTAAGACATGGTAGAAGCACAATACAACACCAAAGCTAATAAACTATCCAAAATATCAGAGTAGGGAAGCCTCTTGAAAGGATAGGGTCTCAAGGGTTTTTGGGATGAGTCACCTTACTACCAGCGGGCACACAAGAGGAGAGGTCAGAACATTTTGGCATGGCTGGATTATAAAAATGGGTTATTAACAGAGGAGTCAACACAGCAGAGAGGCATTTACACAAAGCCATTAGAGACTATACCACATGGTAGAAGTCTAGACACTGAGCCCACTGCCTGGGAGGAGAAATTCACAGAAGAGAAAGGCCACATCAGAACTGGCAAATAAACTTCATTTTGCCTCACATTGCAGCAGTGGAAGACAAAGGAATATGCTTTAACAATGGTAGATACCTATGCAGGCCATCTATTTGCTTACCAATGGGAGGCATGAAGTTCTGCTAATGTCATTGATGGGTTAACAAAACAGTTTTTACAGCCTTTGGGCATGCTACAAGTTATACAGTCAGATCAAGGCTTTCATTTTAGCACAAAGCAAATCCAACAATGGGCAATACAAAATAATATTACTAAATATCAGCAGTGGTATCATAGAAAGACATAGTAGGCTTTTAAAACAAGGGCTTCTGAGGTGATGGCTCCATAGTTTAGGGGTTAGAGCACTGGTCTTGTAAAACAAGGGATACTGAGAGAACATAGAGGACAATGGTGCCCCAAGCCATCAAAAATGCTGCTCATAGTCCTGATTACATTACAGTAAATTCATATCAGCCTAGGGCATAACTATATCATATTTAAATTCACAACAGATGAAGGGACCACCAGCAGAAATGCTCTGTCCTCTGCTGGTGACAACTCTGGAAACAACATAATTATAATTTTTATGGACACAGGAGCACTGACATAGCTGCCCACAGCCAAAGAACCACTCAGCACTTTCACTTTCTCCCTCACAGAAAATCCAGAGCCTAACCACCTCCCCATTGATCCTGATGCCCACATACTCTCCTCCACTAAAGATACTGTGGAACAAACCCGGACCTGCTCCCAACACCCAGGGGCTAGAACTAAGTTACTCTCAAACTGGGTAACAACCCTTTGGTTATTCTCAGGGGACAATCAGCTCCCCTCATGCTGGCCATGGATAATCTCCAACTTCAACCTTCACTCTGTTGCTGTGTCCTCTTTATCTTAAAAATTTCCACCCTTGCCGCTGTCAACTGCATGTCCATTGGTGGGTCACCCCAGTCCTGGTCATCTGTACCCTACTGCTGACAGCAATGTGCACGTGCACATTGTAGAGAAGAACACAGCATGGGTCAAACTGAGGCAATGGGGCAGCTGGTGGCTACCTAGGTTGGTCAGTCAGCACCAAGACTAGTGTTCCCCCCTCATCTCTGTGGCTGCCAGCAATACCACTTTGTGCCAGGCACACTCTGCAAGACTACCTGTGACTCACAGGTGCCTTTTAAGTCCTGAGGGCCAACCCTTACTTCAAATCAGATAAAATTCACTATTATTAAATAGCACCATTAAACCAATAGCGCAAGGGCCACTGTCTTTTGAGTCTCATTTAAGCAAAGTCCAGAGATTGTATGCATCCAGTATCACAAACCATGATTGGTGCAAACAAATTAAAAACACTGTAATCCAGAGGCAATTCCAATAAATATTATGAGATTACAGAGAGAAAATTATACCTCTTACTAATCCCTGAGATGATGATAAATGAAAATCCTGCCAACAATGTATACCCTTACAACTATTGGTCTCTTTTCCTATTAATTATAATGATCTTTCTTCTCTTCTACTATAAGCCCATTTATGAAGGTGGAAAGAAATTGCACTAACCAAGTAGCCAAGGGCATGCCACCATGAATCTCCTCCTGGCTGTTAATCAATATATACAAGGCTATGTGTACTAAGTAATATAACCTGGGCTAAGCATGTCTAAGAAATCAGAGATTACAACCAGCTTGGAAATTCTCTCTAACCTAATCTTCCCACAATACCAATTGTAAGTTTTCATAACACTCAGGGAAGCAGGCTCTACCACAACTGCAATGCTGGCTGCCCACAGAAAATAATTGTAACTCTTGGGTGTTACAGCAAAGACAACTCTTATGAAAAACACATTTCATCAGATTGATGAAGGAATCTACTCTCCGCATGAGAGTTTTGCCACCCAATTTTCTCTATCCAATTACTTGCTTACAGCTATTACAAAATTTGCTGGGCCTACCGCTACTACCATTAATAAGGACTTAGGAAATATTTGAAGGAAATTGCTACTCAGTGTTACTGTCCTGGGGGATTTGTAAAAAACATACATATCCTACCTTACAGAAGAAAGAAATGACAATGGAAAGACTGGTGGTGAAGCTATCCTGGCAGGAAAATTATTGGTGGTGCAGTTATAGCACCACCTCCCAGGGGGCTACCCCTGAAGCCACTAAAGCTGTAGAAACTGCCTAGACAAGTTTCCCCTAGAATAGAGGTGATGGAGCAGGTAGTCTCATAATGATTCACTGCCATATTACCTTGTAACAAAGAGGGACGTAAATGGGCCAGATGTATATTACAATTTATGTTTCTTTTTTAAATAACTTGGCCCACCCATGAGAATCCCATGTATGAATGCCCCATAGTTGAAGATCTAGTTTGGTACACAGCTAAATAAATTTTTTTGCAAATTTCCAAAAGCACCTGTGAAACCTAACCCACGCCCATGGAAACATACCAATGCTACTTTCCTATCGACAATCAGTAGGAAATTCAATCACCAATGCACACCAATTTGAGCAGGAAGGACCATTCAATTTTCCACCAAACCAAACCTGTTGTAGCCTTAGCCACAGAGATACATAGCCATATACATCTAACTGCATGCTGAGATTGATTCTGACAACCTGATCTTAGCACACATAGCATATACCTCTCCCCTGGCAATACTCTCCCATAAACTTTTCTTAACAAGATGAGCCTATTCCCCTAATCATTGACATCCAACAACATTGACATTCAACAAATTTGTGTGAGGCTCATCTCACACAAATACACAGGAAGTTTTGGGATAAGCCCATACTAACTGAGTTGATCTAGATGCTGAATACAAGGTGGATAACTCACAAACTTGTTTGACTATAGTACTGCATGCTCCTACTCACACCATTTGGAATTGTACTAAGTCATACAAATTTACCTTTATAGGAACACAATGCAGAGGCAGCAGGAGGACCCTGGTGGGCCCGAAAGAACCAAATGGCTTCCCCATCACAAGCTTCCCCAGTCCAACCCTGGGACATTTTTTGCACCTGAGTTTGGCTCAAAAGTCCAGTAGAATTTTACTCAGCAGTGGAACCCCACTTCAAGCCGCCAAATACTTGCCCTGACAAACCACACTAGCCACAACTTTCCAATTCCATAAAGAATTTTCCCAATAGTCCTCCTGGTACTAATAACCCTAGGATCACTAACTTGGGGATAGTAGGAACAGCACATATGTGACACATAACATAATAATTAAAAGAAAAACACACAACCATGTCCAAGGAATTATCCACATAAACTAAACAAATGTCCCAAGGACTGAAACTCTTGGTGCAATCTCAGTGTACTTTAGGGACCATGATATTAGATAACTGCATAGCCCTAGATCACTAATTGGCTATTGGGGATAGAGGGAGGTCTGTGTACTAGCTGACACATCATCTGCATGTGGGTAGAATAATACTAAGTTTTACCAATAGCCATGGACATGTATCAAAGGGGCCATAATGTCACTCTATTGACTAAACATACTGAACAAATCAAAAGCTTCTCCTTTTCTTATCCATTCTCTTGCTTTCCCCAATTAAGTGACCTAAGTGGCTACAAACAGGCTTTGAAATTCTAGTGTGTGCATTTGTAGAATTCTATTCTTTAGAATGCTTTATCACTGGCTTCAGACTCAGGCATTGAAAAATAATGTACAACTTAGATTATAAAACAACATAGGGCCAGGAGATGGGTTATTACATAAATGAGCCAAAAAATGGCCCCTGAATATTGGCCCCTATGTTGTTTACTTCTTTTTAGCAGACTGACACTATTAGCTCAAAGCCTCCTGGCATCAAACTCAAATTTTCACATATCCAACTGCATTAAATATAACGCAAATAAATATTTTTTTATCCAGTTAGAGCCTGCTTGCTTTGCATACTCCAGAAAACTATACCCAGTGTCTGCTAGTCATAGATAAAACAAACCTTGGGAGCATAAAAGACCTTAAGCTGGGGCTGCTCTTCATAGCTCTCCAACCCAGACCACTCCCTCTTATATGTTGAAGCCCTAACCCCCAGAACCTCAGAATGTGACTGTATTTGGAGATGATGTCTGTAAGAAGGTAGTTAAGTTAAAAGGGGGTCCTTAGAGTGGGCCCTAATCCAATCTGACCAAGTCCTTATAAGAAGAGGAGATTATGACACAAACACACAGAGAGAAGACCAGTTATGACATGGGGAGAAGACAGCCATCTGCAAGCCCAGGAGAGAGGCCTCAGGAAAAACCAACCCTGCCGACACCTTGATCTCAGACTTCCAGCCACCAGACTGTGTGAAAATAATTTTTTATTGGTTAAGCAGCCTAGTTTGTGGTATTTTGTTATGAGCAACATTGCCTAGCCACATAAGGCCCCTCTCTGATTCTCCTATCCTCCAGCTGTTCCCTCCCCCTGTCCCTCTTCTGGGTTCTTGGTGGTAGTCTCCTGCCACTGCCTCTAAAATGTCCCTACCATGAGGGACTTTCCCTCTATGGCAATTCATCAAAGCAATACCCACATAAAGATCACCATGTGTACTGCCACCTTATGGTCATGTCTTTTTCCATCCTCACACTCATCATGTTATATACATAGCTGTATCTTCTGCATACTTCTGTGTCTATCTGTGTCATCTTTTCTTGGATGTACTTAGACACATTTCTGCAGCTGGTGGTTGACATCTAGTGAAGCCAGGTATTGTATCTGAGATCCAAAAGTAACAACTCATACTATGAGTGTTGAGAGAGTGTCTACAAAGCCATTGATAAGCCCAAAAGCTCCACTTGTTGCCTGTTCCCAGAAATAAAACAACTGAACATGATGAGTGCCTACAGCATGTTAGATGCTGTGCTAACAGATTTATATGTGATATCATAGGAAGATACCAGTCTTCTGAGTTAAATACTATTATTCCCATTTTACAGTTGGAAAATCTAAGCAACTCAAGGGATATAAATGTTAGGCAACTTGCCTAGTATCATACAGCAATATCCAGCAGAATTTCATTTGGAATCCAGCTCTATTTGACTGCAGAGCCTAAACAAGTAATAAAGACATGCAACTTAATTTCAAGGGCTTTTAAGAAATTAGTTGTATTTACTCTGCAAGTCACCCAGCTTATATGTGTGTGTGTATGTACGTATGTATGTATGTGTGTGTGTATATAAATATATGTAACTAAAATGAGAGACTGTTAAGAATATAATGTACTTAAATAACAAGTATCTTTAAATCTTTAACCATGAGTGCAGGGGAGAGGGGTGGGAAAAAAAAGAAAAAAGTAAATAAAAATAAACATGAGTGCAGTATAGATATGTCATAGGAATACATATCCAAGCCCCTAAAGTAATCTTGGTATGCATTCAGATTGTTAGAGCTTTTCTCTAGGATGCTGCAAATACCTTTTAAAGTATAACCATGGAGTTTAGTATCTAGGAACTTAAAGTTGGAAAGGCCTTTGGAGATTATCTAGTACAGTTCTTACATTATAGCCTCAGAAAATACTAATCCCCATGAATGGAAATGGATTTGCCTAGAGATCCTGGGATGTTAGTAGAAGATCTAGGAACAAAACCTGAGCTCTGTTATACAATGATAAAAATAATAAACAATAATAATTATAATAAGAGCTATTGCAATTTTGGGGGTGGCTGCAATATACTCCTACATATGTATTATCCTATTTAATCTTTTAAAAAATAATTTTTTACAACAGGTATTATTAACTCCATCTTGAATAAAAGAAAATTTTCTACATCCAGGATCACACAGGTAATACATGGAAAAACCTAGATTTAAATTAAGTTCTCTTATAAACTCATAATTCTTGCTTCCCCCACTATTATATTATTTTCATCTTAGTTTTAGCATTTATTTATTATTGTTAGTAATTTATTTATTAATATTTATTCATGCTATTAGAACTATAGAAAAATGATATCAATGAAAACAAGATTAAGGCAAATATAATATGTATTTCATTATCAATGTCAAAAGATCTCTAAATAGCTCAGCTTTATTCTTGTCTCAAGGAAAGTTTGCAAGAAAATAATGTGGGCATTGAATATTATCACCTCAAGTTCTAAAGAAATGGGATCACTTGGAAAAATCCAGAGCTTATTTTCTTTTGTAGGAGATATCAGTTGATTCTTTTATAGACATTCCATTTGAATCCTCAATTGTATAGTCTTTTTTCTGTTTCAGCTTGTCCCAGTAGTTGCTTATACTGTCTCTTTGGTCACATATAGATAACAGAATGAGACTCAGATGTGCTCTGTATTGAACTTTTTAGATGAACTCCTCACCTGTGGTGGCATGACACTAGTTACCACAATTGTATTTGAGGAAAATAGCCAGTTGTATTATGGAGCTTTACCAAAAACTTCTTCAGGGATTCTTTTTCTTTCTCTATCTCCCTGACCCGGACATCTAAAGCCTTCTGGAGTTTCTGAATGTGAATCCTGGTCCTCTTCTCTTCTCCAAGGTTGTTCACAAGAGCCTTCCGAATGTACATGTGGTCTCCTGGTTTGAAAGTGCCCTTCCTCCTCACGCAGCCCATGTTAAAAATTTGGCTGAGGAGGTTCAAGACAGGACAATAAGGCTGCCTATAAATGTCTCAGTAAAACGATTCTCCTGTGGTTTGGAATATTAGAACCCCAGCACCATGGGAACAGAGCCTCACAGAATCTTGCAACTGAGTGGCATCAGAGAAGCACTTAGCCCAATCCCTGAAATTTACTGATCAGAAGGTTTTAAGATTACAACTATTCTTAGTTTAGAAATATAGATGAATGTATTGACAGGCTAGAATGGCCATCAGGATACCTATTGCCATCTTGTTTTCCTACTTAGGTTGAATGGTAAGTGTCCGTAAGCCCTCATAATCAGTACCAGAATGTTTATGGAGAGAAAAAGTAAGTTGAATCAATAATCTGGTTTCATTTTAGAATTATTCTTTATTCCCTTAAGTGTTACTTAAGTTGCTAAATAATTGAGATTGTGTCATTTGTCTAAGTTTAGGGTTAGACTTAAACTGGATAACAACTTTTCCATAAAGTTTTCATATAAGAAAGAACAGGAAAGAGGAAAATATACATGCATCTATTCATTTTCACAAAAAAAGAAGAAATATAAACTAAAAATTAATGAGATTATAGAGAACGGAAGAGGCAAGGAGGATAGGATGGGGCAATAGGAGTTAGGTCGGAGGAACAGGAAGCTGGACACTTTTTTAAGTATATGTATTTTTTTGAGACAGGGTCTCACTCTGTTGCCTGGGCTAGAGTACAGTGGTGTCATCATAGCTCACTGCAGCCTCAAACTCCTGGACTCACGGGATCCTCCTGCCTCAGCCTCCTGAGGAGATGGGACTATAGGCATGTGCCACCACACCTGGCTTATTTTTCTACTTTATGTAGCGATGGGGTCACACTATGTTACTCAGGCTGGACTTCTGGTCTCAAGTGATCTTCACACCTTGGCCTACCCTTTTAATTATTCTTACATTTCTAAATATGCTAATTGTTCATGTGCTCAAAAATAATTACATTCAAGGAGGATTAGGGAGATGGTATCCCAAACTAATCTATGTATATTGAGCAAAGAAGTCAATACATTGTAGATAATGAGGGCCAAGTTCTTTCTGTTGGAGAAAGAGCTACAAATAAAAAAAGGAGGAAGGCTATAATACACCCTATGGTGCTGAACTAGAATCAGAGATATTAGTATGAATTTATGATTCTATGAATAGGTATAAATCCATAGTTCTATGAATCAGTAGAAATTTGTGGTTATATAGATTAGTATGAATTTATGGTTATATGAGTTGGTAGGAATCTGTGGTTCTATAAGTAAGTATAAATCCATGATTATATGAGTAAGTATGAATCAATGGTTCTATGAATCAGCCTCTGGCCTTCAAAGGTACCTTGAATACTTGAGACTTTGTGACTCTCCCCATCAGAGATTGAGCCCCATTTATTCTTGGCTTCAAAACTGTCCCTGGAAAATGCAAAAGATAGGTGTTATGTCTCCTCTTTGGGTTTTATCTATGACTCACCTAAGTCTTGATCCTGTTATTTTATTTCTTTTAAACCCATTATAGGCAGACACATACAAAATTCTTCCAGTCCTCTTTAATCAGGAGTAGAAAATCTGAGCATTGTGGAATGCTCTGAATATATAGGAAGGCATATTTTTCTTCTGATAGGAGAATTTTATTAATTTTCAACTGTTAACATGGCCTTTAGAAATCATCAAAAGATTTAGCAAAACATTTATTTTACAACTAACTACTAATGAATGTAATTACTGGTAGCCCAATCAGACCACACTCTAAGAGAGTCTGACTCTGGCCCACTCTTGGCCCACAAAAGCACCTATGGCAAAGATGATCAGATTGGCAGGAAGTATAGAAATGAACTTTTGGACAGAAGAGATTTGGGCAATGCAAGACAATGCCTTCAAATCACTCAAGGACTGTCCTATGGAAAAAGAAGTAGGTAATGCATCCTGACACCAAAACTAGGAACAGCAGAGAGAAACTGCAGATTATAGCTCAGGGTGAGGAGGAATTTTCCCAACCTCTAGAGGTGTCCACTAATAAAATAACATCATTGCCACTAGAGATGTTGAAACTGAAACAGAAGGATCATCATACGGGTATATGCAAAGCAAGAACTCCATTGTATTTTGAAATGTATCATCACTAAGTTCTTCCCTAAATCAGAAATTATGATCATCACTTTATTATTTACAACAACATAATGACAGGCAAGGATTATCACTCCTATTTTACATGTGAAGAAACTGAGACTCAGAAAGTTGAAGAACTCTGTTTAAAACTGAGCTAGGAGCGGGGCCAAGATGGTGGACTAGAAACAACTTGTGCATGCCACTCTCAGGAAGAGGCTTGAAAGTTGCAAATGGATGTTCACCTATAGATGGATTGTATTAAAACATTGTGAATCATCAGAAAAGTGACTAGAGACACCAAAGTGAAGGAGACTGAACTGGGGTGACCTGCTCAGCAGGATCAGAGGTACCTGGGGAAGGCCCTTGCATGTGGGGAAGTAACCCTGGAGTTCCATACTCCCCTCACAGACACTAGAGCCAGAGCTGTGAGAGGGCTCCTCACCACTGCAGGCCTCCGGACTAAAGCAGGGAGCTGCTTGGAGACTGTGCAGCAGCACTGCACTCAACAGTAGGTACAGCAGGGTCCCCACATCAACAAAGAAACACTAGATTTAAATGAAACTCTACAACAAATAGACCTAACAGAAACTTATGAAACATTCTACCTAAAAACTACAGAATATACATTTTTCTCATCAGCACATGGAACATTTTCCAAGATAGATCATATGTTAGGACACAACACAAATCTCAGTAAATTTTTAGAAATCTATATTATGCCATGTATCTTTGCAGACCACAGTGGAATAAAATTAGAGTCATTCCAAGAAGAACTCTCAAAACTACACAAATGTATATAAATTAAATAACCTGCTGCTGAACAATCCCTGGGTCAATGACAAAATCAAGATTTAAATCAAAGGATTTTTTGAATTGAATAGCAAAAGTGAGACATGCTACCAAAATCTCTGGGATACAAAAAAAAGCAGTGCTAAGACAGAATTTCATAGCACTAATGCCTACATAAAAAAAAAAAAAAAAAAAAAAAACAGAAACATCACAAATTAACAACCTAATGTCACATCTCAAGGAACTAGGAAAAAAAAAAAAAAAAGAATAAGCCAAACCCACACCCAGCAGAAGAAAAAAAATGACAAAGATCAGAGCAGAACTAAATGAAATTGAAATGAAAAATACAAAGAATCAATGAAATGACAAGTCAGTTCTTTGAAAAGGTAAACAAAATTGATATGCCACTAGCTAAATTAACCAGAAATAGAAGAGAAAGGATTCAAACAAACTCAATCAGAAATGAAAAATGAGACATTACAGCTGATACCACAGAAATACAAAATATCATCTGAGACTACTATGAAAACCTCTAAGCACAAAATCTAGAAAATCTGGAGGAAATGGATAAATTTTTGGAATCACACAACCTCCCAAACTTGAATCAAGAATAAATAGAAATCCTGAACAGACCAATAACAGTTAGTGAGATTGAAATAAAAAATTTCCCAATAACAACAAAAAAAGCCCAGGGCCAGATCGATCTATAACTGAATTCTACCAGACCTACAAGGAAGAACTGGCACCTATCCTACTGAAACTGTTCATAACATCCAGAAAGAGGGAATTCTCCTTAACTCATTCTATGAAGCCAGTATCAATCTGATACCAAAGCCAGGAAAGGATACAATAAGAAAAGAAAATTACAGACCAAAATCCCTCATGAACATAGATGCGAAAATACCACCAAACCAAATCCAACAGCACATCAAAAAGATCCATCACAATCAAGTGGGTTTCATTCCAGGGATACAAGGATGGTTCAACATACATAAATCAATAAATGTTATTTACCACATACACAGAAATAAAAACAAATACCATAAAATCATCTTAATGTATGCAGAAAAAGCATTTGGTAAAACCCAGCATTTTATGATTAAAACCCTCAGCAAACTAGGCACAGAAGAAACATACCTAAAAATAATAAAACTCATATATTACAAACCCACAGCCAATATCATATCATACTGAATTGGGAAAAGTTAAAAGCATTATACCTAAGATCTGGAATAAGACAAGGATGCCCACTGTCACCACTTCTATTCAACATGGTGCTGGAAGTTCTAGCCACAGTGATCAGCCAATAGTAAGAAATAAAGGGCATCCAAATTAGGAAAGAGGAAATCAAACTATCCCTGTTTGCTGACAATATCATCTTATATTCAGAAAACCCTAAAGATTCCTCCAAAAGACTTCTAGAATTGACAAATACAATTAAGTCAAGTCTCAGGTTACAAAATTAATGTATACAAATCTATAGAATTTATACTAAAAATAGTCAAGATCAGAGTCAAATCAAGAACAATACCACTTAACAATAGCTAAAAAAGAAAATAAAATACCTAAGAATATACTTACCCAAGGAGGTGAAAGATCTCTACAAAAAAAAAAAAAACTACAAAACACTGATGAAAAAAAATCAGAGACAAAACAAGCAAATGCAACAAAAACCCATACTTATGGATTGAAAGAAGCAACATCATTAAAATGCCAATACTGCCCAAAGTGATTTACAGAATTCAATGCAATTCTGATCAAAATACCAAGGACATTTTTCACAGATCTAGAAAAAACAATCCTAAACTTCATATGAAATCAGAAAAGAGCCCGAATAGCCAGAGCAATCCTAAGCATAAATAACAAATCTGGAGGCATCACATTATCTCACTTCACATTATACTACAAGGCTATAGCAACCAAAACAGCATGCCATTGGTATAAAGGTAGACACATAGACCAGTGGAAGCGAATAGAGAATCCAGGAATAGAGTCATATATTAATAGCTACAACCAACTGATTTTTAACAAAGCAGACAAAAACATCCACTTGGGAAAGGACACCCTCTTCAACAAATGGTGCTGGGGAAAATGGACAGCCACAAGCAGAAGAATGAAACGGGATCCTACCTCTTGCCATATGCAAAAATTAACTCAATATAGATTAAATACTTAAATATATGACCTGCAACCATAAAAATTCTAGAAGAAAACATAGAAAAAATTCTTCTGGACATCAGCCTAGGCAAAGAATTGTATGACTAAGACCCAAAAGCAAATACAGCAACAACAAAAATAAATGGGACATAATTAAAAATTTTCTCTACAGCAGAGGAAATAATCAACAGAGTAAATAGACAACCTACAAAATGGGAGAAAATATTGACAAACTATATGTCCAACAAATGACTAATATCCAGACTCTACAAAGAACTTAAATCAGCAAGAAAAGTGGGCAAAAGACACAGATTTTTCTCAAAAGTAGACAAATGGCCAATGTATGAAAAAATGCTCAACATCACTAATCATCAGGGAAATGCAGAATGTTTATTGCAGCACAATTCACAATAGCAAAGATATGAAATCACCCTAAGAGCCCATCAATTCATGAGTAGGTGAAGAAAATGTGGTATATATTAAATATATGCCATGGAATACCACTCAGCCATAAAAAAGAATGAAGTAATGTCATTTGCAGCAACTTGGATGGAAGTAACTGGAGACTATTATCCTAAGTGAAGTATTTCAGGAATAGAAAAGCAAACACTACATATTCTCACTTATAAGTGGGATCTAAACAATCTATCAGGTACAGCACATACTAGTCTCGTGATGGGTACACTAAAAGCCCTGATTGTACATTGTATAATTGTACAATTCACTCCTATAACAAAAAACACTTGCAACACCTTAATTTATTCAAATAAAAAAACTGAGCTAGAAGTATTGATGATAGGAGAACTGCCAAACTCTTGGCACAAAACAACTCTGTCCAAACCTCTACACTAAGAGATAATTAAACTCTAGTGTGCCTTCTAGCAGGTTGAGGCCATATCTCTAGGGATGACCCCTGCACTCTCATTAAAATGCCTGCCTGAGAAAGTTCAAGGCTGCCAGGAGAATTGAGCGTTCTAGTCAACACCTGACATAGATCCCTGACCTCCCTATCTTAGAGGAGTTACTGAAAAGGGTAAAAAGGAAAAATATATACTTACAGTTGTAAACATGCATTTCCTACAATTCAAGAGTGTCTTTCTCAAGGATCTCTCCTTTGAAATATAATTATCAGGAAGGATAAGGCCTCTGTCTTCCAGTCTCTGTTGGAGGACAGACTCCTAACTTTGATAACCACCAGCTCACACACACGGCTGCCTCATCACATTTACACTGACCAACCCTTTGTAGATTTTCACTTCCCTGGCTGTACTGAGCCCCAACTCATGCCCTCCCTACTCCCTCATTCTCTCTTTACAATGCCCAGTCACTTCTGCACAAGTGAGAATGGAGCTCAGCTATTT